GTTAGATCTGCAGATATTAGGCCTTCCCTACACTGGTCTCGTTGATTAAACCCATGTTATCTGAGCAAACTGTGGACGCCTATCTCTGGTCACATGTGGCATCTCAACTGGATTTCTTGTCAATTTTGGCCATAACCCCTAATTTCTATTATAGTGTGCTTATCCGTTTACCCAGCTTTTTGACTGCCAGACCCCCAAAGTTGTACTGGTTTATTCAAAATGGTCATCATTCACTGACAACGTCTTAACTTAATTGCCGAATACCTCCGCCCCCCACTTTCTTCCTCGCTATCCCTTTTCCTCCGGTTAGCGGTAGATCCTTGATCCAGGCTTCTCCTTTTTGTTGTTCTTGCTCTATTGTTTTCCCTGATTTTGCTTAGGTAGTAGTCAAAGTTATCGCTAATTACCTTCTTCCAATCTCCTGTTCATTAGATTTCTCTCACCAAAGATTTCAATGGCCTCCCTAATCTTCCGCTTCCTTGTGTTGTCACCGTATGGAGCTGACCTTTCTGCTACCTTCCAATTGCTCTCCTGTCCAGTTTGTGCCATGTATTCCGCTAGTTCCGTCATGGCCACCTGAATATTCCATTTACTCAATATTCGAAGAAAAGTTTGGTTTCGAGGAGTCTCTTGTTTCATAATTGTTAGGCTTACTTTAATTTCGAGTGAAAGGGCTGGGTGAAGAGATTCGAAGGTCGGTTCCACCAAAAGACGGCGGCCGATTTCTCTTGACCAGTTGTCGCTTGGCTTTATTGGAAGATTCATGCTGACGCTGTTTCCGAGGCAATCATTTTCGATTCCGGTGAAAAGGTGCTAAGCTTTCTTCCGTCATATGACGGACATCATCAGAGCAAGGCAAAATCGTCACAACAAAATTCAAGCTAATGATTTAAGAAAACTAACCGTAAATCACTAAAAACGAGTATATATACTCTACATATGGCCTCTTCGATCAAGTATAAAGTGATTTGGTTAGTTAAGGTCATATGTCAACTTCGATGTATGTGAGTGTGTCAGTCTCTGTTTGTGTTTGCTT